TTATGGTCCTGAGGCCCCAGAACCAACAACTTCTTCCCCTGAGGCATTTGACTTTAATTAAGTAGCTTGTATTGTATAGCCTTACCCCCTGTGACCTAAGCTATATGCATGGATACATTTATAGCATATACTAATGTTTTTATGGACTCTCTAGTGGGTTTTCAGAGGCTGTAAATCACATTGGAGGTGATGCCCTATCTTTCTTCTGCAAAACAGCTAGTGGGCTCAAACTTCATGCTTTTGAATTGGCAGAGCAAATCCTTACCACGAGGCCACCAGAGCTCCCCAACATATACTAATAGAAATGTAGAAATATATGTGTATCTATGAATGGCTATGTTTGTAGTCCTTTTCATCTGATCATATCTGTTCATTTTCCCTCTCTTAGTACACACACACACACACACACACACACACACGTAGGTTAACATTTAGGGAGCTCTGGTGGCCTCGTAATAAAGAGCTGCATTGTCATCCCAAAGGCATGTGGTTCAAACCCAGCAGCAGTTTAATCTCAGGAGATTGTTCATTTTTCTCCTGCAAAACCTCTGGTGTCTCATATCTTGTACCAATATTTAGCAAATAACTATCAAGTTTTCCAGCAGTATTTGTGAACAAGGCCATCTTTTCTTCACTTAATGGCTTTCATCACTTTGTCAAAACTGTCCTTAGGTAGGTAGATCTATTTCTGGGTTCTTGATTATGTTCCATTGTTCTATGTGTCTGTCATTTCCCTGGTATCAGACTGTTTCGACTAGCATTTAGTTGCCTAGTAAGTATGGATCAGGAAATACAAGGATCCCTATTTTGTTTATTTGTTTGACTTATTCCTAAGTGTTTCATCTTTTGAGAGCTTACTGCATACAATATTGTTATCCTTATTTCCTTTCAGGGCTCATTTTGTGACTGTAGAAAAATCTTACTGATTTTTTATGTTGATCTTGTACTCTGCCACTTTGGTGAATTGCCTTTATAAAATTCTGTTGGTATTTTTGAATACCTGCAGGACAGCTTTCAACTTCATAGACTCACTCATGTCACTCCAGTGTAGTAAACTGACTGACAGATGCTGAGATAAAACAAAAACAGCTACTTGTCCTGCCATGCTGTATATAATCTTTCAGGACTCACTTTTCTTTTTTTCTCTGAATATTGTCTTTCTAAGCATCATTCCTGTTGTTTTGATGCATTTCTTAGTTGTCTAGTGCTATTACAACAGAAATATCATAATTAGATGGCTTTAACAAATAGAAAATATCTTTCTTACAGTTTAGGAAGTTAGAAGTGCAAATTCAGAGTGTAATATCTAGGGAAAACCATCTGTGTCCCACCCCACCCCCCGTATGCCAGTTCTGAAGAAAGATCCTTATTTCTTTCAACATATAAACCTGATATTCCTTGAGGAATCTCCATCATTATAGGTCTTTCCCAATGTGGAGGAGCTTCCTCAGAGAGATCTAAGTTCCTAAAGATACTCTCCATTCCTGAATGGTTTCCTGGGTGGTATTGAGGTCATCCATTCTTGATGAGTTTTTCCTCCTTTTATATCCTTAGTGAGATAAAAAGCTTTATAGGTTGCTTAGTGGCAAGAAGCTGTGCTGCAATCCTGAACTCACTCAGTTCAAGGCCACCAGCTGCTCCATGGGAGAAAGATGGACAGTCTCCTCCCATGCTCCCATGCTCCCATGCCTGTGAAAACACACAAGAAAGTCAGCTATGGGTCAATTCAGACTCAATGGTACAACAAGCAACAAAAGGCTACATCCTAGGGAAACTCCCCTTACGCCAGATTAGAGCTTTGGTGGAATTAAGGAACGTTGCATTCCACCCTTAATCTTTTTTTTTTAATTGGTTTGCTTACAAAGTTCTGTATACATTGCTTTTCACACTATTCTTCATTCACACTGTGTTACATACAGTCATTCTCGTGTATTATGTTCTGTAAAATCAATTACCATTGGACCTTGCCCACCATTATCCTATCTTTTTGCCTGGATTCTTCCCCTTTCCTTATCCTCCTCACTCCATCCACTAAACTGTGCAACCCTATGGTTTTTCCCTTACCTACCCTCAAGCCTCTGCTCCCACTGCTCTGCCTCTCTTGAGTTCCCATACATGTTTTAATAGTTAGTCTTCTATTTTTACAATAATGATCTTATGCAGTATTTGTCCTTATGAGACTCTGTTAGTTCACTCAGCATAATGATCTCCAGCCTCTCCCAAATCACTTAGCATTTTTCAAAATTGTTGTTCCTACGTGCTCTATAGCCATTGTGTGACTGTACCACAATTTCTTAATCCATTAGGTTGTGATTGGACATTCGAACTGTTTCCACGTTCTTGCGAAGGTGAATGACACATTATGAATATTGGTGTACAAATCTCTGTGTCTCAATACTAATTTCTTTAGGGTATGTTCATCATAGTGGAATAGCTGAGTCTTATGGAGTTGCTATGTTCACCTTTTTGAAGAAACACCAAACTGTCTTCCAGAGTGGTTGCACCATTTTAGAATACCACCAACAGTGTATAAGAGTTCCCACCTCTCCACATTCAAAAGTTTTTGCTTGCTGCCCTACTAAACTTAAGACTGTTCACAGATCAAGACATTAAGGTGGCCAACAGACACATGAAGAAGTGCTCAAAATTACTGACAATAAGGTAGACGCAAATCAAAACCACAACGACATACCATCTCACCCCAGTAGCAGTGGCAAAATTTAGCAGCAAGCACCCTCAATCTTTTATCATTATTTGGTTTATCAGATCATGGGAAATTATTACGTAGCATCCACATTATGTCTTTATACACGTGTATTTTGGGAGAACACAGTTCAGTCCTGGAGATAGAATGACAGTAACTAGTAGTGATACGTACATAGACATGGTCTCCTGCCGCATACATGTTGTCGTGTACATAGGTATGTATCTAGACATGAGATTCCTGGTCATAAAGGATGAGAAAACTCACCTTCACTAAGTAATGAACAATTTTCCAAAACAGTTGCCAAGGAAAATATATGACTCTTGCTTGATCTCCTTCAATATTATTTTCTTTGTTTTTTTCTTTT